TTAATAAGACAATGATACATAAACATGTATCCTTCCCGAATACTAGTAACTTTGTCGTGGATTGATTCTTTGCCCAACGATAGAAACATGTAGGAAAACATAAGATAAACAGGTAACCTTTACTGTACATTCATGCTCTATCGAGCTAAGTACAACAAAATGTACAGGTAAACAGATGCAAAGGTATATACATGTTTGTAGTACAAACAGGACTATTGATACTAATCTAAGTACTAGTACACTAGCTCTAAAGCTACTCTAATACAGAAGCGGGAATAGGAGATGGCAGATTCATGTTGTCAGTGCCTACCAGTAGTACGTTAGGTTATAGGTCAAAGTGAGTAGAGTCACTACAGTGTGGTCAGACCGGTTTCTGTAACGGCTTTAATATCAGACCGTTGGTGACATGTCACTGCGGCAGCTGATTTTATTTTTCAGCTGAATGAACATCATGCGGGTGTGCCACTGTCTCTTGCCACAATCAGCACTATCACTGTTGTTTTTTTTTGTTTATTATATTCCAACATTTATTACATTATTATTAAGACATGGAGACGGCACACTCACGTTTTTCCAATTTATTTTTATGCCGCCACCAACGCAGACAAATTGATAAGGCCTTTGATAAGGTCTGGCACGCTGGACTTATCAGAAAACTAGAAGCCTATGGCATAAGGGGTAGCCCTATGGCCAACATTCTCTCGTCCTTTCTATCAGAGAGAAAGTTGAAAGTCGTTCTTGATGGTCAGTCTTCTACATCCTATTCAATCAACGCCGGTGTTCCTCAAGGCTCAGTTCTTGCCCCAACACTATTTTTAATATTTATTAACGACCTGCCCGACCACATTCTATGCCAACTTGCTGTCTATGCGGACGATTCCACCCTTTACTCCAACTCTAAAGGTCCCGGTTCCATACTGGATAAGACAGAAATGGCAGCTGGGTTGGAAAATGATCTGCGCTCTGTCGTTGAATGGGGAGACAATTGATTAGTCACTTTCAACGCCCAAAAAACAAAACTCCTCTCCATCAACAGATACCGGGAACCTTTTCTTCCACCTATATCCATGAATGGCAACGAGTTGCGGGAGAATGAGAGTCTCCGTCTCCTCGGTCTTATTCTCTCCAAGGATTTGTCCTGGAGATACTACATCGAATCCATAGCCAAATCAGCAGCTATGAAAGTAGGCTCACTGCTTCGAGCCAGAAACTACCTCACTCCTGCAAGTATTCTGTATCTGTACAAATCCACCATCCGTCCTTGCATGGAGTATTGCTCGCATCTCTGGGCTGGTGCCCCAAAGACTGCCTACATATTTTAGACCGTATTCAAAGGAGAATCTGTGTTGCCATCGGCCATTCTCTGGCCGAAAAGCTGGATTCCCTCTCACACTGACGCAATGTCGCATCTCTATCCCTCTTCTACAGATACTTTCACGGTTGATGTTCAGGAGAACTTGCACTTCTTGTTCCTCCACTCAGAACCTTTCAGCGTGCCACTAGGTTCTCTTCCAGTTCTCATCAATACACCGTTAACATACCTGTCTCCAAGTCATATTACAACAACAGTTTCTTTCCCCGGACTGCAAAATTATGGAACTCTCTTCCAAACAGCTGCTTTCCGTCCGATTACAATCTACAAAGCTTCAAAACAAAGGTCCACCGCCATCTCATGACATAGCTACAATATACTCCCCTAAGTACCTCTAGCTCTATGCCTAGAAGTGGCCAAATATAATTGGCCTTGCATTGAGCGATACCGTTAAAAAAAAAATACACGAACGGACAACAGACATACTCGTTTTCAAAGTGAGGAAATTGGCGTTAAGTGCCTTTCCCAGGAGCACAAGATCAGTAGCATGGCAGGATTCGAACTCGGAACCTCTTGGTTTCGAGCCGAACTCTCTGTCATTCCGCCACACGACCCCCACCACTTCTGAACTCCATCAAAGTAAACCGGCACTTATACGCATTGGTGATTCTAAATAGCCGAAACATTCTTGAGGAACTTCGTTATATTGATGAGTCTTTAATAACATTCCTGAAGTCCTTGACGCACTGATCTATTAACAAGTTCATGCATGAAGTACTCCCTTTGTTCCGTACAGACAAGGTGTGTCTGTCACCCTCTCAAAAGGCTGAGTGTACAGTATAAGCAATATCAAACCTTTTTAACAAACGCCCCTGCAGTTCCAGAGCAAGCAGCTAGGTGGCTCACAGTCATGCCACGTCATCCCCAACGCAAGAGCTGCCTACCAACCAAAATTCGTGACCCTATCATGTCTGGATCATGAGATATAAAAACCTTAAGTACCATGACAAGCCGCTAGGGGGTCCAAAATCTAATAATGTTGAGGTCTCAGCAAGACCTACCCACCTACCAAATATCAAGACAATCCATCAAGGCCTTCTCGAGTTATCGTGTTCACAAACACACAGACAGACAGACACACGAACGCCCCTGAAAACATAACCTTCGTGGAGAAGGTAATGCTAGTGATTCTACGACGATCTACTCCCCAAGCAAAAGTTGGCGGAGAATCAAGATCGTTACCTTTACATGTATGCCCTTTTTTCTGTCGCTACCCCCACCAAGCGACAAAAAACGGGGCATATATAGTAATTATCTGTTTTTATACCAAATGTTTCTTCTATTCCTGCAATTAGCTCTCGGCCATGAATTTGCGATAAAACTTGTTATATAGAAAGGTAACGATCTTCCCCACCAACCTCTGCTTGGAGGGTACGATCAACTTATTAGTTTGGTAGGAAACTCTGTAAGAACGTCACTTCGCACACGTGATGCATGTTTGGGTCTCCTACATTTATCTACCTGTGGACAAAATATACGGCCCTAAGCTTGTGCGTGCATTTTGCAGAATGTGTTTCATTTTGACCCATGAGAATTATAAGTTTGCATGCCTATTAGCAGTTGAAGGTCCCTGGCATACAGTCTATCGTGGTTGGGGCAGGCTGTCCCCCATACAGCTCAACAGACCGCCCGGTAGAACCTTTGCGTGGTGGGCCTAATCAAAGTCCCGCCGTAAAACCGTAAAAAAACCTACCAGGCGAACCTAGCGCAGGCGCCCGGGGAAGAGCTTCAGCAGCCCTGAAGAAAATTCCCCCAACCACGATAAGACTGCACACCAGGATACATGCAGTTGAAGGTCCTTTGTCCCCGTAGACAGCCCGGGGCGCTTAAAACCACGATTACGCTATCTACAAACTATTCCTCACACGCCCATGGCGACCAGACAGTATGCCACATAGGATAAGACCGCCTTTGTTCCAATATAACCTGGTATCCAGTCTATATGGTTGGGGCGGATTTTCTACGGGGATGCTGAAGCTCTTCCCCGAATATAATGTCTGCCTTCTTTATCTCAACAAGCTGGAGATTAGCTCTTTAGTAAGCTAAAACTGGATCGAGATCACTTTCCTTTTTACTTTACTTTATACTGCCCGGCCATAAAACCAAGTGTACAATGTACTGTCACCTTCCTATTCACATGGGAGATCACAACTCTGATCTTCATTGTGTAGCTTAAAAGCACTCTCAGTGGAATGGGATACATGTGACAATGTGTAGGTTGAAAGGGCATATAAAGAATATTATGACGTATTCGAGATGATTAGGTAGATCATATCATATTCTTGAGTGCAAAGTCTTCTGGCATTTTGGTATCAAAGAGCGTTGATCTTACGGTTCAGGGAAACAGCACATACATTGGTGATTACTTCAACAAGTTTTTCTACGCAGATTCGTCTTCACATTTTTACTTTAATCCCCATGCTAACGACGATTCTAACATTCTAACTGTCTCTGATATTTAAGTACTGTTTTAACACCTGTTTAATGTTGGTTATGCCCTTTCCATAGTCTGTATCTGTATAGCCGGTATGTATATATATATATATGTATATATGTATATATATATATATATATATATATATATATATATATATATATATATAACCGCCCTTCGCAGCTTCGCAGGCACGCGGCGCGGCATCAGCTGGCTACATTACACCGAACGACTTGTTACACCTAACCTTTGAACATCTAACTCTAAACATTGCTTAAAGTTATCTAATAATAATTACCCTACTGTACTTGGTGACAGCGAGTTCAGGAAAGAATGGATTTTTGAGCACCTCAATCCTTGGTTGAAAGCATGGCTATTTCTGGTTCCTTTCTGGGCTGATATTAGGCACTTAGTCACATACTTGCTGAACGTTCTATATAGTTATCCCTACATGTGGTTCACATTATTATGTCATAAAAGCCATAACCTTGGGTACTTCAGCACACATGAGTTGCAAAGAGTAAATCGATCTTAGTTAATATTTCATGAGAGTGAGTGAAAAATAATATGTCACGCCTGCTTGTTTCGGCCATATATATTATCGGCACCATTAAATCCAATTAAGGTCATAGCAATGGTGGAGGGCGTGAACCTCAACATGGGTCTCTTAAATATCATTATGACAGCTTAAAGCGATATCATGTAAGATTTTTCACTATCTTAAACATAGTTGTTTAACACATTTTCTTGCGCTGTAAGCCTACCTTCGTTCATAAGGACATTTTGGGAGTAAAAGATCAACGTCGTTGCGCCGCAAAAATATGTTGAAGCTGCCGAAGATACCAAACGAAAACCACTGTTTGTTTACATTCTTTTTCAGAGCCTCCTAAAAATACAGCGGGCCTGGCGCAACTTATTCTCGCACTGCGCCTACACTTGCAGATGTATTCATAGATGCTCACTCTGTTTCCAGGATACCCAATTGTTCGCATAATCACGAATTTATGATATGTTAACATGTTTGGTACCTCGTAATGACAAAGCATTCAATGTATAGTTATATGGACGCTTCAGTCAAATAATGTAGTCAAGATTATTTTAACATATTTTATCTTTACACCATTTACGAGAGGTCTAGACTTACAACTGTTTTGAATTAAGACGAAACTGATTTGTAGGCTTTTTGTCTTTTTTCAGACTAAGATATGGCGACGGTTGGGCAAC